TGGGTGGAGGAAGGGTAATTAGTGGGACCACACCTGCGGTGCATCTTACAAGGGTACATGTGAAACTTAGTAAATGTAGAATATAAATGTCTTAACACAATAACTAAGAAAATGCCATGAAGGCTATGTTAACCAGTTGGATGAAAATATTTCAAACTGTATATGTATACAGTAAAGATTTAATTAAAAAATAAAAAGAAAGAAGAAAGAAATCTTGAAAGTGAAGTTAATAAAAAATGTCTCATAGAATTTCCAGATGGCAAAAACAGAAAAAATAGATATGGGAAATATGTTTGAAGAGCTGGTACCTTGAGAAAAGAATTGTTGTTAATATTGGAGAGATAGAGCAAGTCTTGAAATACCTAATAGTAAAATATGTCTTAGTTACTAATACTAATATTTATATTAGTATTATTAATATAGTCATTACATTATTAATAATATAATACTAATATTAGTATTTTTTAGAGACAATCCTAAAAACAATAGCAAAAAAATCAGATTACTATATAAAAATTATGATTAATAGTAAAATTCTCATCAACAAGATCTAAGACCCTCTGTGAAATATTGTGTTTAAAATACCTGATGACTATCAACATAGAATTCTATACCAAAACTATTACTCAAAAACGAAGGCAAAATAAAACCATTTTCAGATAAAATAGCCTGCAAAATTCTACCATAAATCCTTCTTGATGGATCTACTAAAGGATTCAATTCAGTCAAAAGATGATTGAACTGGAAGTAAGGAATGAGATGATAAAAGAAATCAATTTTATTGATTCATGCCTTAGATTTATATCTTTTATCCATTTTGAATCAATTTTAGTGAGGGAGAAAGTTATAGGTCTGGTTTCAGTCTTTTATACATGGTTATCCAAATCTCCCAGGAGCATTTGCTGAATAGGGATTCTTTCCCCCAGGGTATGTTATTGTTTGGTTTATCAAAGATCAGGTGGCTGTAAGATTTTTAGTTTCATCTCATGGCTTTCTATTCGACTCCAGATGTCTATGTCTTTATTTTTGTGCCAATACCATGCTGTTTTGATCAATATGGCCTTTGTAGTACAGCCTACATTCTGGTAGGCTAATGACCCAGCCTTGTTTTTATTACTAGAATTGCCTTAGCTATATGGTTTTTCTCTGGTTCCGTACAAAACAAAGAATTATTTTTTCCCAAATTTTGAAAAAGATACTTGAATAAAGTGTAGGGAAGATACTTGAAGATATCGGCCTGGGGAAAGATTTTATAAAGAAGACTTCCATGGCAATTACAACAACACAAATTTAAAAGTGGGAGTTAATTAAACTGAAAAGCTTCTGTACAGATAAGGAGACAACAACCAAAGCAAATAAACAACCATCAGAATGGGAAAGGATATTGCATATCAATTGGACAAAGCTTGACAACTAGAATCTACAGAGAATTCAAATTAAGCAACAATAAAAAAAGCCAACAATCCCCTATATCAATGGGCAAGTGAGATGAATAGAACCTTCTCTAAAGAAGACAGATGAATGGCTAACAAACATATGAAAAAATGTTTATCAGTCTGAATTATCAGAGAAATGCAAATTAAAACCACACTGAGATATCATCTAATCCCAGTGAGAATAGCCCACATCACAAAGACTCAAAGCTGCAGCTGCTGGCATGGTTGTGGAGAGGAGGGAACATTTTTACACTACTGGTGTTACTGCAAACTAATAAGACCCTTTTGGAAAGAAGTATTGAGAATCGTCAAAGAACTCAAACTAGACCTCCCATTTGATCCTGCACTCCCATTATTGGGCATCTAATCAGAAGAAAAAAAATCATTTTATCATAAAGACATTTGTACTAGATTGTTGATTTCATCTCAGTTGACAATTGCCAAATTGTAGAAACAACCTAAATGCCCACCAATCCAGGGATGGATTAACAATCTATGGAATATGTATACCATGGAATACTATACAGCCACTAAAAAGGATGGTGACACATCTTTTGTATTAATTTGGATGGAGTTGAAATACATTCTTCTTAGTAAAGCATCACAAGAATGGATAAGCAAGAATCCAATGTACTCAATTCTGATATGAGGACAATTGATACTAGTACAGGGTGGGGAGAGAAAGAATGGAGGAGGAGAGAGAGGGAAAGATGGAGGGGTGTGGGGGGCCGCAGTGTGTGACACACCTCTTAGGGGCAGGACACGATTAATAGAGGAACTTCACTCAGCAAACGCAAACAGTATAACCTGGCTTATTGTACCCTCAATGATTCCCTAACACTTAAAAGAAAGAATAAAAAGAAATAGAGAAGTTGGAACTTGGGGCTTCAGAAAAGCAGAAAATTATTTGGCATAGGTCTGTGTGAATTTAATCTCCAGTCAGTCAAAGATGAATAAAAATCTTGTGACACAGTAGTGAGACATTCCTGAAATGAGGCACTGGTGGGTCTGTGTCACATCACTATTTGCGCAAAGGAATCAATATGTCAATCTGGGTGGACCAATATTGTGAATAGTTGACAAATTTTCAACGTTGGCAGATTAATAGAACTTTAAAAATTAAAAAAATATATATTGGCAGTCAGATTCCATTCCCCGAGTTTCTGCTTTAATTGGTATAAAGGGTGTCCTACGCATCAGCTTTTATTTATTAAGCTCGCAGTCTGATTCTTCTCTGCAGCCAAGGTTGAGAACCACTATAATAGATTATTAGGGAAAGGCAGAAGTCCAGAATCTGGTTTTAGTCACTTGGCAACGCAGAGGGCAGCTCCTTTTCAGGATGGCGGAAGCATCCTTCATACTCAGGAAAAGTGGCTTAACTTTTTGGGCAAGTGTTGGCCTGCTTTTTCTAGAAAGACCCAGACTGTAATATTTTAGGTGTTAGGGTCAGATGGTCTCTTGCAGCTACTGAACTCTGCTGTTATAATAAAAAAGCCCCAATAAATAGTATGTAAAGAGATGGACCATGGCTGTGTTCCAACAAAATGTTATTCACAAAATAGTAGTGGGCGGGATTTGGCCTATGGGACTTAGTGGGCCAACACCCTACTTGGAGAGTTAAAGTACAGTAGTGAGATCCATCACCTTCACCTTGGAGAAAGTGGCCCCATGTGTGACTAGGTCAAGGAAGTGCAACCCAGGTTGTGAGACTGGGAAACCATAAACTTGGAAGGGTCGAGGATAACTTTGAGTAAATGAAGATGCCCGTATAGAGAGCTAAGGTTCTGACAATCAGGGGGTAGCTGTAGTCAAGTGGGAATCTGAGGATGAGGGAGTGATTAGCTCGTTTTCTTTTGTATTTGGTGGCTTACGTTTGTTTTGTCTGTCACATTTAGAGCTAGAGTGGAAATGGATGCCCTGGATCTTCTGTTTACTCACATGTAGATGTGCTGTGTTTAGAAACAGTGTGCTCCTATTTATAGCGTGTTGCTGTAATCACTGCATGATGTATAGTAAGAATTTTTTCTCTTTATCCATTCTTAGCCACAAAAGAACATTTTCTTTTCACACATCGTGATTAAATTTAGGCAGATTATCTAACCAATAATCTTAGGTTACAGTAAGTGTGAGAGCAGGAAGATGGGTTTCCTAGCAAGCCTAACTTTCAAATTTCACTTGAATTTGTCTGATGTTTACCTTCCCTGTCCTCATAACTACTTGAATGGATTATGGAATGACTTATTTATTTTGATACCAAATGTGACTTGTATTTATATTTTAATACATTTATGATTTCTGTAACCTAATTTGGTTCCATCTTAGAATCAATGGATATATACTGAATCACTGGATATGTATTTTATTTTTCTACTTCAAAGGCTGTTATGAAATTCATAGTGTATCTTCCTGGCAATAGCATCTTAGAATCAAGGAAATATTATTTTCTTTTGTGTTTCTTTTTTTTTTTTCCTGCATATTTTTTTTTTTTTTTTTTTTGGCAACTATTTCCAGTGTTCCCATGGAATTATATTTCTGGGAAACAAATCTGATCTTGTCACTGCCCTACCTAATAATTTTGAGTGCTTCAAAATAATTCTGAGTGATCTCAAAGTCCAGACTCCTTGGCATGGCATTCAAAGGCTCTGCTATCTAAAGCCTTTCACATTTTGGCCCAACAGACTGGATCTCCAGTCTCACTCCCCACCATTCATTCCTCTCTCCCTCATGTGGCTTGCTTCATTCCTAACCAGCAGACATATGATGCATTATTTTAATGTAAGTATTGTAAAACTCTCTGAGGAAAGTTTAATAAAACGGGATTGGTGTTGAGCTGAAAATCGCTAAAACAGGCTTTTCCTAAAGCTTAATCATTTAAAATGGAAGGATCATTGTCTTTGCAGGAAAGGTTTGATTTTATATTAGAGTGAGTTGCTGAAGAAGCTTGTAGAATGTCTTTATTCGGAGACTTTTAAAATACACTAGATGCTCTTCTGTTTTGAATGATTTAGATAAACCCATGAGAAATCAATAAGGTGCACTCTGAGGTTATGCCCAGGTCTAGGAGTTTTGTGTGATTGATGACTGTGTCTAAATGAGGCCAAAACATCCAGATGGGATGAAAGAGAGAAATTTAGTAAGTTTTCTGCATTCTCTCTCTCTCTCTCTTTCTCTCTATCTCTCTTTCTCTTTTCAAAGACCTGGATGTTTAACAGTGGAATATATTTAACTAAAACCACATATTTCACTGGGTATATTCCGTCTTTAGTGCTACTACGTTGCTATAGTATAAAAAAATTCACAAGATGATCACTTATTATTGTATTCCCATCTGCCGTGAAATAACATATATTAACTTGTAATTATTAGAAAGATAAAAATGTGTGTGAATTGAAAATTTTCCAAGATGGTTTTTATTTGGTAGAAGTATAAAATAATCATGAAGGAATAGTGCTAGTCAATTTTCGTGATGCATTTTTGGCTAATTCTTTATTTTTACAAAATAGAAATTAGGAAATTGCCTCTCCACCCTATACATATTTATAAAACTCTGTATTTTTAATTTAGGTATGTGTCTTGCGCCCTGGGCTGTCCATATGAAGGAAGCATTACTCCACAAAAAGTGACAGAAGTAAGCTACATCTCCGGCCTTATTGGTTTATGGTAAAATGATGCATGTTATGAATATGTTAAAAAGTGTGCTATTTTTCTTACTTTGATTATATCTGCATAACAAAGACTAAGGAGAGCTGTAGAACAAGATAGAATCCCTGAAGACATGTTGGATCACTTAACTAATAGTTTCCTTTTAACACTAAAGGCTTACATGGTGACTGTAACTTTCACAGTTAGAAGACAGTTAGTGAGTCTTACCACTTGGGTGATCAGAGATGGAGGGAATAAAAACATCTGTTTTGTTTTTATGCGGCTATAACACAGTGAGTGAGTTTTCTGCTTTCTAGAAGAATGGCGGAGCATAGAAGCTTAGATTTGGTCGTCTTCACTTGCCTGGCAGCCTCGCAAGATTCTATCATTAATTCACATTCACAATTGTATAGTCTTTTCTTAAAGAATCCGTCCCAAAGAGTGTTTAAGTTAGCGTGCACGCATTTAAACTTCATCTCGGTTGCTTAGGTAGCGTCCCTCCTTTTTCTCTGAGTACTTTGGCACTCAAGGTACACACGGCTTCGTTATTTTTGGTGTTTTGTGATGTTGGAGGTGTTACTGCTCGGATTAAGTTGCTGTTATTCCAGAGCTGTTTTACAGCAAAAGATTGTAGTCAACCAGAACTTTATTATTGATGTTTATTTTCTACTTCTTATCATTGATTATTACAATAATGTATACCAAAAGCACAAAGTACTCTATCTTTGAGATTGTAATTAGATTGTCTCAGAAATTCATGTGTACATAAGTTGTATTAGTTGTATATATAGTATATTGCTGTTTTTTTTTTTTTTTTAAGGTTGTTAATTTTGACAAAACTAGTACCGTGGTACTGAAGTGGTGAAGATGGCGTTATTAGAAAGCCCACACTGGGGCAGGATGAGCTTACAGGTCAGCTGCAGGCTTTCGTCTTTAATGCATTCATTTGAATTTCTCACTGCAGATTTTTGAAATGAGAAATATCCTGTCATTTATTATTTAAACAAGACCGTGGGATGGAGGCAGACATATTATGGAAAATGAAGCTTTGATGTTTTAGTCCTTCTCTTCCATTCTTTATTATATTTTTTTCTTAAAGAATACCTCCTAAGGAGTGCAAATTCAGGCCCCACAAGACCCCACAAGACCTGGACCCACCTTGCCTAACACCAGAATTCTAGGTTCTCTTCCTTTTGCTCCACACCAACCACAGATGAACCCCACCTTGCTGGGGTTCTCCAGCACTGCCCCAAGCCTGACGTCCTGCTGAGGAGTCCTGGAACAGGCAGAATGGAAGCACCGTGGTGATTTCATGACCAGGAACCTTAAAGCAAAAGGACCACTCGTGCTATTCGGATCCATTTTGTGGTCAGCTCCCTCTCTTCTCTCTGAGAGTACGATTTCAAACTGTTCAAGTCTCACATCCCACCTCTGTTTCTGCTTTCTCCTCACATCGTCCTTTGCAATTGACTTTCTCTCCCTCTGGAAGGCTCTTGGCAGTGGATATGTCAGCTGCCTGGAAGTTACCATTTGCACCTGTCCCTTTTCCTGGAGCATTTTTCTTAGATCCGTCTTCCTCACCCTTTTCAACAAATTAGTGCTCATTTTATCTCTTGCTGCCTGGAAGATGTAGGTCAGTTTATTTTGCTACATGCTGTTAGATTCCTCTTTGTTTCAAATTCTTATTTTAGCTTCTACTTATGCATTCCCCTGTGAGACTGGCTAAGGTCTGTGTTCCCTCGACTTTGGAATCCATGAGAGCCTGAGCATGTCAACATTTGTTTTCCCATTATATCTCAGCACCTAGCACAGTGCCTTGTATTAAATAGGAACCAGAGAAGTAGATATTGAATGAATGAATGAATACTCGGTGCCAGATTGTGTCTAAAATGACTTCTATTCATTCTCATTTTCACAACCAAACATGTCATGTTAACATTATTTTTATTATCATAATTTTTTTAAACAAAGAAACTACGCTCAATGAGGGTGTTTTGTGATCTGTGCTTTACAGATTAGAGACTGAGGTTTCAGTGTATTAATCTCTGGCCAGTATAGGACATGAGTAGCATTAGAGGAAGTTGAGATTTAAACCCAGGCCTCTCTGATTCCAGAACCCATGTCTTTGTCTAAATGCCTGCTGTCGATATGCAAATTCACATTGGTCTTCCAAAGGAACATTAGTTATTCAGCTTGAATAGGCCTTGTAGTTTATCTCACCCAAGTGCCTCTGTTTATCAGAAAAATTAGGCTTGAAATATTTTGATTCTATCAATTGCAAAGCCATGTAGTGACAGAGCTGAACTTGACATAATTGAACAAAGGGGGTTAAAGGACCCCAAACTTCCACATAGTTCAAAATCTGAGTATAAATGTTGATTCCCCAAAATCTTAACTACGAATAATCTACTGTTAACTGGAAGTCTTATAAAAACATAAATAGTCAATTAATATGTATTTTACATTTTGTAAAAAGTACAAGATTTTTATAGCTGCAGTGATAGCTTCCCTTCCTTCCCTTTCCTTCCCTTTCCCCCCCTTAAATTTCAGAATAGTATGGGTTGACAAATGCTTTAGCTACATGAATTGCTTTTGTACAGTTTGAGATAAGTTACAAATGTGCCCCTCACCCAGCTAGAGTGCACCGTCCCATTAGGTATGATTTTACCTATTCCTTCCTCTCCCCTCCACCTGCCTGATTTCCATTGAGTTCTGCTTCCATAGGCGCCCATGAATGGTGATTGTTGAGTTCCAGTTGAATAGTTAGTACACGTTGTGTTTGTTTTTCCATTTTTGTGGGACTTCACTCAGGAGAATGGTCTCTGGTTCCAACAAGATTGTTGTAAAAGGTATGAATGGCCATTATTGTATGGCTGCGTAGTGCTTCATGGCACCATACACCATGTTTTATTAATCCACTCCTGTATTAATGGGCACTTGGGTTAATTTCACATCTTTGTGACTTTTTCCACAGTAGACATTCGAATGCAAGTGTCTTTTTGATAAAATAGATCTGTATTCTTTGGGTAAATACCATGATTTCCAGGATTGCTGAATCATGTAGTAGGTTAACTTTTAGCTCTTGGAGGTGCCTCCAGACTACTTTGCATAGAGGTTGGGCTCGTTTGCAGTCCCACCAACAGAGTATAAGTGTGCCTGTCTCTCTACTGTATCTGTTGCTTTGGGATCTTTTGATAAAAAAATGAGTGTTTTTTTTTTTTTCTTGTTTAACAATGTTCCTTATTCCATATTCATTGATCTTGAAATAGCAGGCAGCCACTGCTGCGGACCTCAGTGTCTGGCTACAGTTCCCAAGCCCTGGGCTGCAGACCAGTATGGGTCTATGGTCTGTTAGGGACTGGACCAGACAGCAGAAGGTGAGGGGGGAGAGCTAGCACAGCTTCATCTGGGTTTATAGCCCCCCCCACCCGGGGCTCACATCACTGCCTGGGTTCTGTTTCCCATCACATTAGCTGAGGCATTAGATTCTCAAAGGAGTGTGGACCTCATAGTACACTGTGCAAGTAGGGGTTCCAGGTTGAATCTTCCTCGTGAGAATCTAATGCCTCGCTTCCACCTCCTCCCTGTCCATGGAAAAATTATCTCCATGAATCCAGCCCCTGCTGCCAAAAAGGTTGGGGACTGCTGATGTATGATATATATCAAGCAATGCAACTTTTCTTATAATGTCATGCCTTTTCTCTGCTTCTTGGGACCAGTTCCAACATCACTAGTGGCACTTAGTATAGGTCTCATGGTGTCATTCAAAGTTTATGGCATTACATTAAACACAATGAAAAATATATGAGAACCTCAAGAGATCACTTTTTACTGTGATACGCAATTTAGCATCACATGGCATTTTAAGTGCATACTCTCAAAACTTAAGCTTACTACAATATCAACAGATGTGGGGATGAAGCTATTCCAGTAGTGCAGTGTGTATTACAGTTAATTTTATGGAGTTAGGATCGAATGCTACATATTTATGCTTATTTACATTTCTCTTGACTGAAATGGTGCCATGAAAAGTCTGTGCTTGTTTGCACATATTTTGACACATTTTAACTTTTTATAACAGGCTTGTATATATTTTATGGTAGTAAATGGTGACATGGCCTGGTATCTACATACATTTTACGCATTCATGGCATACCTTTTCCTTAATTTTGTCTAATTCTAGGCTACATTTTTTTGTAAGATTTTTCAGATTGTTGCACACCTTTAAAAATGTTTGCATAATATTTATTTAAAAAATTCTTGTATAAGTGGGCCATTGTATTTCAAACCTGTGTAGCCTAAGGTCAAAAGTATTGATATCTCTGGACTTAAATGACCTGAGATATATTAATTCCAAAGTAAATCTGTAACATTTGTTTGATTAAGGTGAGGTTCTCAAAATTGAAGTTGTACCTTATAATTGGAACAGATAGATAGACAGACAGACAGATACGACTCTAAGATAAACTCGAATATTAGTAAAAGGTAATTGTATTATTCAAAGTCTTGTATAATACTTCGAATATGGTGAGCAAGGGAAGGAGCAGAAAATAAAATGGAAGTATATGATTTTCGTTGACATAATTGACCTTAGTCGTGATTTTATTTTATTTTTTTCATCTACCTGATGTTGGCTGAAGAACAAGGGGTTTGAGTCTGTTCATTTCCATTGTTTTACCAGGTCTTCACCTTTCTCAACAGGTGTCTAAGAGATTGTACAGCATGGGCTGTTATGAGATCTCTCTGGGAGACACCATCGGAGTGGGAACCCCAGGGAGCATGAAGAGAATGTTGGAGAGTGTAATGAAAGAACTCCCACCGGGGGCTCTTGCTGTTCATTGTCACGACACCTACGGACAAGCCTTAGCAAATATCCTTACGGCTCTTCAGGTATTTCGTATTCCTTGTGTTTTATGTGTTAGAATGTGCATCCTTATTGGCCATGTAAGCGTCCCAAGAACTCCATTTATAAAATGCTCTGAATATGGTGTGTAGACAGGGTTTGCCATGTGACAGGCACTCAGGAAGTATCTGTAAATTCCACATGTGGGCAATAGAGATTTCTCATTACTGTTAATGTGATTTGATAAAATCTGTGATCTCTTCTTTCTAAAGTACTGATTTTAGTCGTGCTATATTTGCTTAATTCAGCTCCTAAAATTTAATAGACTCAAATATGATGCTACAGGGGAGCATAAAACACAAAGATAGTGGAGTGCATAGTTGCAGTGATGGAATTAATGCTCTCTTTGGTCTTCAGTAACAGGAAGGTATGATGCTGAAACATAGACTATATAGACTATTATTAGAAATTAATATTTTTTAAATGTTTTCCTTATGTTGGAAAGCATACTTTTGACATAGCTTCCATTTCTTAATCAAGTATAATCTGTATGATAAAATGAAGAGATCTTGAAAGTTGGAGGATTAAGAACTGTGGCTCAAAGGAGTAGGGTGCTGGCCCCATATGCTGGAGGTGGTGGGTTCATACCCAGCCCCAGCCAAAAACTGCAAAAAAAAAAAAAATTTCTTATTAAAGTCTGTTATTTTAAATGTATTCATTTAAAAGAATAGATAGCAATACTTTAAGAGTATTCGTTTTAAATTAATGTCAGTTTCTTAAATGCAGTTAAACATAGATTGGTGTTTCAGAACCTTAGATTTAGATAAGTAAAGATGAGACTATATGAAATCTTTGTGGTGAAACTGAAAATCAATATGTAAAGCTTAATGTCACGGTCCAAACGTATACAGTTGCCTGACAGAAGTGTTTAAAAAATGTAACGATCAAGCTCCACAGGGCTTATTTCGACCTTGTTAACGTGTGTGTCCAAATCCTTCTTTATCCTCTGGAAGCAAACGAGGAGCACTCTGTCCCGTCAGAGGAAACTGAACATGTTATCTCATGGTCTTTAGAGTGTGGGAATTTTTACAATTTTCCTTCTTTAGATATTCTCATTTCTGAAACAATAGAAAACTAGGTCACACTTCAGACTCTGGGATCAGCTGCAACTGTGACTTACTCAGTGTTCCTGAGCAAATTCCTCAAGTGTGCTCTCTCTCTCTTTCTCTTTCTCCTAATTTCCCTCTCTCTCTCTCAATTCCCCTTGTTTATTTGTGTGGATATGTTATCTACATTTCATTTTTGTAGCATATTTATTGTATAATGAATCATTGTTTAAGCTCTTTGGGATAAGGGGCTATAGAGCAAGATCTGGAAGCCGAAACATCTACTTCTGGACTCTGTCTGCCTCTTGATAAATCCCACTACAAAACAGTGCTGATGACCTACTGTGATTTTAAGGGCTAAGGAGGGTTTATCTGAGGATGTAGTGTTAAAATAAGATCCCAGGAATGAGAAGGAACTCCCCCCCCCCCGGCAAACAGAGCATAGGTTGTGTATATGTGTGTGTGCAAGTGTGTTAAAAGAATGTTTCAGGTTGATGAAACACCATTTGGGCAAAAGGTCTTTGGGGAGGAGAGCAGTATGCTCTACACACTAAAAGAGCACAAGTGTATTTAGAGAAATTTAGGCTTAGAAAATTTGCTAAGATAGCTGAACCGCGTCATCTGTATTTACAGAGAGATGAGAACAGAAATCATGGGGTATTGGCCTGGCGTATCACAGACATAGAGGGGACGGGGAATCACCTTGGGTCCAAACAAGGTGGGAAATATGGATGAGAGCCTGGAGAAGGCCAGGACTCCCCCCAAAATCACACCTTCATGACAGGAGGGTGAACCAGCAACAAAGCCACCCCACAAAGGGAGCAGCCAAGCACCCTCATTTCTCAAGGCCCTGTCTGTTGAACAGAGGGAAAATACAAAGCTGCCTTTATCCTTCCCCACCTTTCATGGGCCCTCATGTGGGTTTAGGATTCACATTCAAATTGTAAAGACGTGAGCAGATACATTACTTTTAGATGGTTGTGGGTCAGTAGCACCCTCAAGTGCCAAGAAGAATATCTCTTTTCTTAAGAAATATATGTTGGACTTCAGCCAAACTGTTTGGAGTGTGGGGTGTGTGTGTGTGTGTGTGTGTGTGTGTGTGTCGGGGGAGGGGCTGATATTCTACCCTTCAGTGGCTCCTGTGGTAGTTAGCAAGAAAGTCCTCTTGAGCATATATAACTGGGTTTTCTTTTCTTTCTTTCTTTCTCTCTCTCTCTCTCTCTTTTTTTTTTTTTTTACCATAAACACAAGTCCTAGGTATGTGTGGGAGGCAAGGGAACAGAGGGAGGCCAGGGGCCGAGGAGAGCAACAGTGTGCTTCCAGCTTCGTGTGACATTGCCTGAGAGCTTAATTTATAGTCTCAGTGTAAATGCTCGGAGAAGAGGGCAGCAGTGGCTTGTGTAATCAGCACCGTGACGTGAGGCCGGAGAGGCGGCTACAAAGGAGCTATGGAGGAAGTGGTCAAAGGGCAGAGATGTGCTGTGGAAATCAAGAGCTGAAGAGTTGTAGAGCCTTTTTGCCTTTTCCGCTATCCACTTAAATATAGTTTGATAAGAAATGGACAGCATAAGAAAAGAAAAACACACCGCGGCTTTCTTCAGACTGTGTGTAACTAAGACCATCTTAAAATGTTTTGGAGCTTTATTTCTTTATTTGCAGTTTTTGGCCAGGGCTGGGTTTGAACTCGGCCACCTCTGGCATATGGGGTCGGCGCCCTACTCCTTTGAGCCACAGGCACTGCCCATTTTTGGAGCTTTATTAAAGACAGCCGTGTGGGGTGCTGGAATGTCATTGCAAACACACATGTCCCAAGCAGAACCCTTTCTCACCTCTGCTCACCTCCCTAATAACAGCACCAGCAGCAACAACAACAACACAACAATCAGGTTTAACTTTAGAGGAGGAGAAAAAATGTCTGGAAAAAACTGACAATGTTTAAATAAAAGAATCAGAGAAAATCCAATTTCATTGGGAACAGGGCTGACCTTGGAATCGGGAAACAGAGGGCATACTCTTTTTTTTTTTTTTTTTAATGGAACCTTTGAAGTGGCTCCTAGCAAAATTGGTGGTGAAGGGGGAGTGGATATCATTTGCTTTAATTTAGGGGTGGAGAAACAGTTCACAGTGCTCCAAACTGGAAGTTAATATTAAGGCAAGGAGACATGTAATAAGTGGAAACTTGGCCACAATGATAGGAAACAAATGAGAGTTATAAATGGAACGTCCCCTCCGTCTGGAAAGCACACGCTAATCATGGAAGAGAGGGATCTTTCTTGGGTTCCCAGGTTTTATTGAGTTTTTTTATAACTTAAACCTATGACTTATGGGACTGGAGATGGTTGTATGGAAGTCAAGAATTCATAATTATCAGATAATTATATAGAGAAATTATTCTAAGAGAAGAGATTTAAGAGTGGATATTTATAACCACTCAAAACCCAAAGAGCAAGGAAATGAGGTGACAAATGTACAGTGAAGAAATGTACACGACCCAATAGACCTGTCTTAATTTTTTATGTAAAAGTTTAGCTTCACCTTTCTGCCAACTACCTAAGTGAAACACATGTTTAAAAAATTGTTTATTTAATTGCAAAGAAGTGCCCAGTCTACATTTTTCTCCACTGAAATGGGTCTTCATAATTGTGTAAAAACAAAATAAAGTAAATGAAATGCAGTACCACGAATAGTAGTTGCACGTTAATTGGTAGCATCGAGACAAAGCAAAACAGGCAGTATTTAGAGTTCTTGTTAAGAAACACTGATTGCCTTTTTTTCTCTTTAACTTAATAAACTTCTAGCTAATGCGCCTTCCTTTGTAATGGTTGCCATGTGTTTATTATTCTTCTACAAAGAACAATTATTTACCAAATTTGTGCATCAAAAGCCCTTTTTCATGCTGGCACGGTCATATGCCACATACCATAAGTCGTTCTTTGTGAAATTTGTTTTGAGTTTCTTGAGAAAAAAATTTTTCAAATTTCCATTGCTGGCCCAAAGAGCCTCTCTGATTCTCAGTTTCATCTTTGTAAGAATAAATGTCATGCTGTCTACTTTCCTGAATTTTGCAAAATCGAGATGAGGTGCAGAATTTCTACCATGATGCTTTCCTAACACTGCACTTGATTGCACTTGTCCGATTTATTGGATTTATCGTGCATAACCAAGGCTCAGGAGCCACCATAGTACATGAGAAGATGATGAAAAACCTAGTTTTCTATATTTTTTCCCCCTCCCTTAGTAGTTAGATTGCTTGTATCAGTGGTACAGAAAGGGTAAACATTCAAATACGTTTGTTAGCTTTAGTTTTGATCCAGCACCTTTTTACTGATATAAACTCTCTCCTTTGGGCATCAAGTGATCAATTAATTTTTATATTCAGGGATACTATAATCTTCATCTATTTCTACACACCCACAGGTGTTTAATGCAATGCTAGAAAAGGCTGCTTCTGAGGTCGATGGCATTTTAAACTGACATTCAATGAATCAATGTTTTAAAATGATGCATGTGAAATATTACTATAACGAGTTAAAGGGAAGTAGTTAATCTTTGTATACAGACTGTGCTTCGACCATAAACTTGAAGTTCACCAAGGATGGGGGGATTACTTTTAGAACTTCTCTGCCTCTCCCATCGCTCACATTTCATCCACCCTGACCAAATGGGCCAACAGTGTAACAGTTGATTATCAGGTTTATTCTATTTGTCAGAAAAGAAAAACCAAAAAAAAAAAAGAAGAAGAAGAAGAAATAAGAAGGGGGTTCATCAGCAGACGGCTTTGTTTCATTGTTTCCTTTTAATCATGGTTTAGTAGTTTGAGTTTAATTAACCATGGTTTTCCCACCTATACCAATGCTTTTAATTTACAGTTGGTTGACACTTCAGAAGAAAGGGATGGGCTTGGAGTATAGCACGCTCTGTGATATGATATTGGGGTTATA